TTATTTTTACAATCACACCTACTCTAAAAATATCGGCGGTCGCGTCTAATCGGGACAATATTCGGATAAAGTCGATATTGAAAAGGAGTACGGTTTCATGTTTTTGAGTTAGCCTCCAAACCCTCGCCGAAAACCCCCATGTGTAAAATAATGAAGCTTCTCCGACCCGAATAAAGTTTCAGCAGGTGTTGTTGTTTTTTTTTATGCTAATACTTACTAGCTTTTAAACGGTGACGTGTTTCGAAGTACTTTTCTTGTGTGGAAAAAATTTTCTTCTGAATCGGCAGCGTGTTCTGAGTGAAAGTAAGACGACTGGAAAAAATGCAAGATACACGGAAGTAGTTCGAATAAGTTTTCAATTTGTGGTATCGATTCCAGATTCCCATTATTGATTCATGACAAAATTCTGAAAATCTGAACGACAGTATTTTTAAACGATGCCCTGTTGAAAATTCCAGACACCTCTGCTAATATAAACATCATGCTTCAAATGATCCCTGTCAATATAAATGACCCGGAAATTTCACTGGTGGACAGTATGCCTTTCAATTTTAATTTAAAAATCTGGGATCGTGATATTGTTTCTGCATATACTGGACGTCAATGCACGCGGAATTCAATACACGGTATAAACAATTGTTGTTGCTGGTCGTTCAATCAGAAAAGTTGAAGCGGTAAATTATTAGCTTGATTGCAAAAGTTTAAAAGACGTACGTATATTAGACATTTTGCTCGGGTGCGTAACCTTTTGCGAGTATTAAAATTTTAGGCAACTTGAAAAAAAGATAATTCAGGAATTTTTATCGTCCTCGTTTATCTTTCACGACGGAGCAGAAGAGTTGTCGGTCGCGGAAAGGCCGAAGAACGTTTTGAAAAAGGCCCAACAATATTTTAGTTCATTTTCCATTTAAAAAAATGCCCAAGGAAAGAGGGTTAATCTATATCTTGAAAAATAAAGGTATGAGACCTGTCAATTTTCGAGGAAACGTTGTATGCACTTCTGAAAAACCGGCTCATTTATAGTGCACACCGCGGTGCGGGAACGTTATCGGTCAAGGAAAGATTCCGAGCTTTGATATTTTCTGGAATAATTGAGCGAGCGAAACGTTTCAAGCAAGTATTAAAAGTAAAAAAAAAGAAACTTGGCTGATTCGATCGATCGAACGATCGGATTTTTATCACTCAACCCTGGGATCCTTTGCCTATTTCAGCGTGCTCAAGTCTAGCGAGTTGCCCAAGAACCCGCTGCGAGCTGTGTGCAAATCCGAGCGTGTCTCGCCCGACGACAAGAAACCCGACACTCAACGATCAATATCCGGTGAGTGATCTCCCCCCCCCCCTTTTTTTTCCGTACCCGGGTTCCGCCAGTGTCGTAAATCCCGGGCAATGTGGTCCCGATGCCAGGCCCTGCGTTTTCTGCCGCTTTAATTGCTCCCTGGGCTTGTTTCTCTGGCTGCTGCAGGGTTGCCAGCCCCCCGGAATCCCTTTATGTGCGATTCCCTGGCTTCTCTGGAGGTTTTTATCCCTTTTTTTTTCAGCGCAATGGGCGTGTCACTCCATCGTGTGTGTCATCTACTTGTTTTTATCGTCATACATTCAGCGCAGTTTGATGCGTACATCATACATGTATGAAGAACATGAACGCGATTCACGCGGGGTTATAAAAGGGGTTCGTTGTAAAAGTTTCCCATTAGCAGAAGTCACATCCGTGGATACTTATACTGTACTGTACTGTGTTCAGTTCTTGTTCGTTCTTCATTGTCGGATTCAAAAAATGATCGCAGGAATAAGTTGAATTGATGTTCAAGCAGGAAAATTATTCAATTGATTTAGAAGGAGGCGCCGAAAGCCAGTATAACTTCAATTATGTATGCTCTGCTTAACCTCGCATTTGATTTCTCTTGCCAAAAATCAAGTTGATTTGAAGAGCGAAGCTGCCAATATCGTTTCAATTGAGGCAATTTTATTTCTGTCTGATAAACCTCATGAGATACATAAATACTCATCATAATTAGAATCAGAAAGCTAGCAAAATATAAAAATATATATATATATAAATATATATATAAAATATATATAAAAATATATATTGCCGTATGACCTATCAAAAATTTTCCCGCGTGAAAATTTCCCCTTCTTCAATTATCTGTTTTATTAGTTTATCCGGATAGTGACGCCGATAATTAAATCGGATACTGAAGATTCTACTGATGAACAGGAATTTCTCTTTTTCGGTCATCGTTTTTTCGCGTTACGAATAATTATTCGGAGCGATAAATTATACTGCATTGAGTAAGGGAATGCAGTCAATTTATTCGTGTCCTGAGATGATGTTGAAGAAGGGGACGAACTCAAAAAAAATTCATAATCCTTCGCTAGTTTTGTATCAAAATAATTTCAATAAAACATTCAAGTCACGTAAATGAATTAAAAATAAGCACTGGCTGCGTTTATGCCACCACTCGTCGAGGGAATTGGATTGCATTTTTTTGTTCTCGTTTTAGGATGATGTTTTCAGTGTTTCCTGCACATGACATAAACAATGACATCCAAAAGCACGTCACGAACGATGTTTTATCGGGATCGAATCTGAAGCGCTAAAATCAAGGCGCTCGATACTGAAAGGATAATCGTACTGCGAGGATGTTTAAACTCTGAAGTAATATTTTTTGTATACCTTAGATAGGAAAAATCACGATTCCAAAAACTGTGAATTGTATCGTGAATTTGTTATAGCGGAATATAACCTCTATCAGGCTTGTCAGGAGATATATTAAACGCGTGAATATCAAACATTTGCGCTTTCAGGTTTGGAATGTGCGAATTGAACCGATTTTAAAAATATTATGAACACGAAGAAGGTGGAATGAAATTCTGAAAGAACCCGAATTCATCTGTTAAATAATTGTTTACTTTTACTTTTCACCAGCATATTATTTGAAAAAATCCCCGAAAGTTTTCTTTTTTCCATGAAATACGCCGATCGATTTTTTTTTAGAATGGAAGACTAGGGAAAGACGAAACGAAAATTAGTTGCTTCGGTTGTCAAAGCACAGAGAGAACATGATGTGATTAAATTCAGCGATTGAATCATAAAATTCCGGTGGAAATCGTCACTTTTTTTCTGTTAGTTATGTACTTTTAATCACGCAAAATTTGCGTCTTTTATCGCAGTCCTACCACTTTCCAATTTTTCGCATCCTCAAAATTCATCCTTATTTAGCAATTTGCCCCGGACTTTCGCCTTTTATGCTTTTTGTGCTGACGAATGCTGAATTCGAACTAGCATTTCTTCATTCACGAGTCTAGCATTTTCCATCCAAAACGCTTTAGTTCAACTTGCAGTAAATTGAGAAAATATTTTCTCGTGATTGGACCGGTGTTGTATTTTTTAATTTTATTTTGACCAGAAAATTAAACCGCACGCAAGTCTTTTGAAGTCGGAGCACGGATTAACATTCTGGAAGCATTCTCCTCAAGGAGATGCCTCAGATTCAAGGAACACAAATCAAATGACAGCAGTATTTTCGCGGCAAAAGAAATCCCGAGAGAACTTCGCGTTCTTCTGCGTAAAATGTAAATATTTTCTCATTAAGATCCACACTCTGTTAAAGAGCGTAAACGAGCGCATCAGGTTTGAATCCCAGTTATTTTATTTTTTCTGCTTCTCCTTCGTAAGAAACCCATTTCCGAATGGGACACACAGACAAAAAAAAGAAAATCAGTCGAATAAAGTAAAACGTTCCAAGAAGCCCGTTTCAGCGCAGTGCCAACGCGAAACGAAAGGAACACACTCGACATTGACGCATAGCGGAACGGTTCGAAGGCGGATCCGATGATCCGTTTCCACGTCGTCAGCGGTTTGTTGAACCACTCGTCAACAAAACGCAGAAACACGCCGCTGTCACGCGATTTATTATGATCATTGCGACTGGAAACAAAAAAGCGACAACCGTCTGTGTTTCGGGGATTTTCTTGTGCAATCCTCTTCCCGACTGGTGGGAAATGCGCCCAGAGTCTGTCTGGGCTTTCTCTGAGCGAAACCCAACTTGGCAGCCTGTCAATGATTCGGAAATTGTTCCGGCATTTTTTGTCGGAAATGAAGTCTATGAGAGAAACACTGGCTTTGCTTGAAACGCGCTAAAATAACCTTTTTACAGTATATATACGGTTGAAGCTTTTCCTTTGAGTCAAATTCAGATGGACTCCAAAAAAAAATACAACCCCAGGGAGGTTTTGAGGTCCGGAAAATGTTTCGATTTTCTCCGGTCGAGTAGAGAAAATTATTCTAAACAACCGAATTATTATTTAAAGAATTACTCCTAGATGTGACACCTCCTGAAAGTTTCCGAATTCCTTATAAAGAACACCAAGAAAATAATTTAAATCTGCTTTCTTAGTCCTCTGAAAACATCTTCTAAAATACAGCTTGAGTTCACCAACACAAATGCCTTGAACAATTTGACTAGTGGAAGTTGGTGCCAAATATTTTAGAGTTGGTAAGATTTTGATGGACTTGTCTTGAAAATAATGGGAATGGGCCAGGGATCCATAGAGATTTAAAATTGATGGGATTTTGACTTAGCAAGGTCAAACTGTGCATATTTTTAGTCTCAGGTAGCAGATGGAATCATGTGTGCTCACACAAAGGGATTTACTCTGAATGTTACCATAAGTACACCACTTGTAGGCACTGTACATATGATTATCTTTGAAACTTGGAAAATTATGTGAATCACTTACCATTTTTTTCCAGTTTGGTTCATGGTTTGACTTATTCGTTATACAGTAGTTGGGAGTTATAATTTTACACATAGAAATACATTTTTACATACAGATTAAGTGTGCTTAAACTGAGATGAGGTTTGTGTTTTCAGACCTCGGTTCTTATCTGAAGAGTTATTTGTTTTCATGAGCACCCTTTTTTTTTGCTTGGATTGTTTGTTATTCAGAAATCAAGACAGCTTTTATTTGCGCCATCAAAGAAGCAGTCAAACCCTGATAAGACGCCACCATTTGTATAGAGCAATTCTGGCGGTTTAAAGGGGTTTGCGGTTTATCGAATATTTCATTTTAAATCATTTGATCAAAAATACTTGATTTTCCTTCAAAAGTAATAGAAATACAAGTTTTCCAGAAACTTCAGTAATTTTCTAAAGAGTATTGCTGTGATTTATGCATTACTCCTTCAGAAAATTAATTTTGCTGCGTGAATTTATTCAAATTTTAAAATTAGGTCTATATATTGTTCAAAGTTTTTGAAAAATGAAGATTGTCATTTTGTTTTCTTCTTGCCAATCAGGATCCTGGACAGAAAATATAATTGTACCCCAATGTTGGCGTTGCAACAAAGACAAAACTAATACAAAACAGCACTTTTGTTTCATCACTAATGCTGGCGGATGGCAGTTGGCGTCTTATTGAGGTTTTCTATGGCATTTAGTATTGAGGAGATTTGTTTCATTCAACATTTTGGCGGTTGCCAAGGGTGGGACTTTATTGGGGGGCGTCTTAACAGGGTTTGACTGTATAACAGTGTCCTACTGTACTTTTCAACCAGCAGTGGTATCTTGTACCACAGGTGCCATACTTGGTCAGATGATACATAGACACTGCATATTTTGAGAATTGCATGAAGTGTCCCCCCCCCCCCTAAAAATGGAATTCACGTTGATTTTTCATAAGAAGAATGGGTCTTCAATTTGCTCCTGACTCATGTTTGCAGTGAACTCCGTGTTGGGGATGGGGCCGCCGGAGGCCATGTCAGCCGCCATGGCGGCGGCCGCGGCAGCCCGCCTGTTCCCGTTCGCACCTGCCCCCCTGGCCCTGCCGCCGTTTGGTCTCAGCGAAGAGATGCTGCACAACTGGAGGCGGCTGTTGGAGCGGGCCCAGGACGCGGATGGCGCCCAGCAACCCCCGCGTGGCGCCACTCCCTTCAGAATGGCCAACGGGGACGACGACAGGTTCTCGCCGGACCCGCCTGCCGTGGGCATCCCCAAGGGCGACCCCATGGAGGCCAGGCTGCAGGACATCCTCAGGGCCAACATGGAGAAGTACCAGGTACCGTACCGTACTGTACTGTCAATGTGTATCTCACGGGGTTTCTCGGCTTCGCTCGAAGTACTGTATTACAGTCAAAGAGCCTTTATATGTAGCGACAACCATTCCTCCTCTAAACCAAAGGGAGTTGGGTTCCCCCAGCCTGGTTCAAGTATGGTATCCTGTTGAACCCCTTCAACTGTTCCGTCCATTTTTTAAAAATAAATATTACCAGTTTTGAAATGCTGTAGAAGGAGGCCAAATTACTGGACCAGCAGTGAGATGGAATGTCATTCATGAAGTTCTTCTATAAATATTTTTCACATTACCTGTACTGCATTTTCTCAAATTCCTCACTCCCTCAAGTAAGACACGCTCCTCGAGTTTTCCCCAAGAAAATTTCGCAAAGATTTTATTTAAATGCGCAGGACACACGCCCATTTTTCTGGACCAGATTTTTTGATGATTTAAACTTGATGACAATTCTTAATTTAGGATCAAAGGAAAGTATTTACGATTTTACCCAACGTAATTTGTGAAATACTGTATACGTGTTTAAAATTTTATTGGAACTTTTTAGCGGTTTATCGCTTGCGCAAATATTTAAGAAGTTTTTGGAAATCTATTTTATGATGCGCTCCTTGCTATTTTGCCTGAATATCTGGAAAACAGGTAATCAAGAATAATAATCAGCAAGATTTTCCGAAAGTTCGAATTGTGTACTCATTTGGATGCTGGAATTCAATGAAGAGACCCTTTCTGAAATCTTAAAGGATCAAGATAAACTGTTTTCATTGAGTAGATTTGGGTTGGCTGGGAAGGGGGGTTTGGTAGTGGGAATCTTGATTGAACCTTGCGAACGCTGAGAAGTGGCAAATAAAGTGTTCTGTTATTCATTCATTCATTCATTCATTCATTCGGATGCTTTATCGATTGGTGATTTCGCAGGACCACAACTTGGACACCATGTTCATCTCACGCCGCGTGAGGGAGCTGCTGTCGATCCACAACGTGGGCCAACGCTTGTTTGCCAAATACGTCCTCGGGTTGTCCCAAGGGACAGTTTCCGAACTCCTGTCGAAACCCAAGCCCTGGGACAAGCTCACCGAGAAGGGCCGGGACTCGTATCGCAAGATGCACGCCTGGGCCTTTGACGACAACGCCGTCTACTTCCTCAAAAGCCTGGTTCCCAAGAAAGGTGAGTGTTGCTCGCCGGGGGTAACTCAAAAAGTTTTCACACGTCAGCAGCGCAGGGAAATCGATCCATTACCGAATACCCGCTTTAATATAGGCCGTGTGTGCGCGCGCGCTTGTTTGTGTGTGTGTGTATATTTGCCGAACCCTGATTTTGGGTAACTTGCCCTGGGGGAAAAATTCGCGGCAGCCTACAGCTTGAATATTTCAAAGACATGCCCCATCCGCGTTTTTCCTACTTGCTTTTTTCCCACAGAGAAATAAATATAATAGGCTATGAAGTAAGTCCGCACTGTATACACTTTATTCTAATCACAATGAGTTAACCAAGATCGAGTGAAATCCCTTAATTGACACTTTCCGAAAGCAAATGAATCAACACAAATGATAAAACAAAATATGAAAAAAAGGCTGTCGCTTGGTTTTGCATGCAAATTCTCTTTCAAAGCGGAGAAGAGCTACTCTTACATGGTTTTCATCGCGGCAAACAAAGAAATATAGAAAATATCGGGAAGACCCTGTATTGTAAATTTTATTCCTAAATGGCACACATTAAATTATTTCTTGCCGAATTTCACAAAGAAATTTACCACTTGGTACCCCAATTTATATGATTTTATGCCTTAGTAGACAAAATTTGGTGTTCGATCCACCAAGTGCCTGATCGAGACTTTTCCCATTCCCATTTGTTTTCGCACGCACTGTAGCCTAAGAATATTTGAATTTTGCATCAAGCATTATTTCCTAAGGCTTCGATTTTCTGAGAATGTTCTATGCTACCGATATTATCTGGTACCCAGTTGAACCCCCTCAAATGTTTTGCCATTTATTTAAAAAGAATAGCAGTTGAACTGAACAGTAAGCGATCGGCAGTTTTGAAAGAAAAAAGCCTAAATTACTGGACCAGCAGTGAACATGTCATTCATGAAGTTCTTTCAACAATATTTTACAATACTATAGTTTCTCAAATTCCTCCCGCGCCCAAGGAGTAGGACACGCTCCTTGATTTTTCCCAAAGAAATTTGCAAGGATTTTCTCGCAATATAATAAAACACGCGCCCATTTTTTCTCTACCAAATTTGCTTTAGTGATTTAAACTTCATTCGATGAGAATTCTAAGTTAAGGATTCAAGGAAAGTTTTTCCTTCAATGGGAAATTGCGTTCGTGTCATTCTCAAAATGACCCCTGGTTTCAGAAAGAAAAAAATGCAACCCAGAAATGAACTCCTTTTTATATCCCCTGACGCTGTTCAAGTCGTTTTTTTTTTTCTCGAAAGAAACAGTTTTTGTGTAGCTTCCCGGAAAAAAACGGGAGGTGATTTATTGAATCGTCTTAATTGAATTAATAGTACAGTGAGACGTGTGAATGATTTTTCGGGTTACCCTGGTGTCGCAAAAAAAAAAAAAAGCCACCCTCAAGTCTCCAGGTGGGAAAGTGACGAGCAGTTTTCCCCGCAGGCAAGGAGTCGACGTCGTCGCCGTTCAAGGTGGACGAGGCCGGGGCGGAGGAGCGGATCGCGCACATTTTGAGCGAGGCGTCCCACGCCATCAAGGCCCACCAGGGCGACAATCTCAGCGAATCCAGCGGATCTCCCACCAGCACTCAGGTACAGTACCCCCATCCACTGCTTCATTCCCTCGGCGGGTTAACCCTGGATATTCGGGTCCGAAATCATTCATGGGCTGCTCGAAAGCCAATTCAATGCAACCCAGAAACGAACTCCTGGTTTATATCCCCTGATATTGGTCAAGTCGATTTTTTTTTGTTGAAAGAAATAACAGTTTTTGTGTAGCTCGCCAGAAAAAAAGGGGAGGTGATTTATTGAATTGTCTTAATTGAATTCGTAGTACTGATAAACCCAGGATTCTGGTCCGAAATCATTCCTCGGGTGCTCGAAAGCCAATTCAATGCAACCCAGAAACGAACTCCTGGTTTATATCCCCTGATATTGGTCAAGCCGATTTTTATTGTTTTTTTTTTAAGTTTATGCTGGTCTGGTCCATGTCAGCAAACAATTTTGAAGTCGACTATAGCCAGCAGAACGTGACTAATTGCATTCTCAATTATTGTGTCTTTTTCAGGAGAAGGTGGCCAGAATTTACCAGGAGCAGTTGTCAAAGCTGTCTGGTTCTGGAGGCAGAATGGATGATGAAAAATCTGTCTCAATGGATCTCCATGACCGGTTGGCCACTGCCAAGTAAGTTGCTTTGTCATCACCACGAACATGACAGTAATTTTATTCACCGACTGTTTTCTTTTTTCTTCCTGTTGTTTGTTTCGTTCCCCCTTTACCAGTCCGGGGCTGTTCATGAACCGTTCACAAGAAGAGATCCAGATGGCGCTGGCTATTTACCAGCAAGAGTTGTCTAAGCTTACAGCTGCTCAGAAGGAGTTTGAGCAGAAGTTGGCTCACAAGGATCTGGCCACCCCCGGGGTTCAGGATTTGTCAATGCCCAAAATCAAAGCCGAGCTTGTCAACGGTGATGACACTGACGAGTTTGACAAGCACGACGAGCCTAGGATGCCCAGCGCCTTTTCCCTCGTCAGACCCAAGTCTGAGTCAGGTTCGTACGCTTTCCTTCGAGTTCCCAGGTGCAATTTAAAATCCCGCTGTGTATGACCCTAAATATAGGTGCACATACTGTATTTTAAAATACTGTACTGTACTCTAGATTGGGAACTCGGGTCGGGTCAGTTTGTGATGCCAGACTGGGACTTTCGTTTCCGCGTGAGGGAATGAGGTTGATAGTCGAATATTTGCAGGTGGTTCATCAAATAGTACACCACCTCCAGGCCCGTTAGGAGCCCTGAGGGTGAGCCCAAATGCTGCACGCCCGCCCTCTAGCGGCAGTGCAGACGAGGCTTCAGCTTCCCCTCTGCAAAGGATGCAGAGCATCACCAATGCCCTGATCTCTGCCCAGCAAACTGGGCCGGCTACTCTTCCAGTCATGACCATGCCCTCTTCCAGGCCACTGAAAGCAGTGCTGCCACCTATAACCCAATACCAGTTCGACCACTACCAGCAGCTCAACACTGAGGAGATTGTCCGGAAGGTAAGCTATACAGTGTTCCGGTACGGGAAAAGTTACCGTGCCCTGCGAATGTGCAGTGACTCATCTTGGATCTATATATGTATGCTTTGCAGAAACAACCTCCCGAGAACCATGCATAATATTCCCATCATGGGCTTCCTCATACTCATGCGTGCCCTAATTATAATTCAGTGTTCCCCAACCTTTTTGGGCCCTTGGACTGCTGGCAAAGTTTCATAAAAAAATTGTCAGACTCTGAGAAGTTGTGTTTGAGAGACTTTATGGCAGGTATTTTAAAAGTTGCTGGTTTTTTTTTACAAAAATTAAGTCAAGAACCAATGAAGCAGCTGCAGTGGAATGTCTTTCAGAAAATTAGAAAGCTGGGCTTGGAGAAAGCTTTCTAAGAATTAAAAATTAAAATAATTGCTTTCAGCAGGTGAAAATTATCTGCAATATTACCTGCAGAAAAGCCAACTTTTATTTTTCCTGGGATAATTTCAACTGCCATTGTCTTCCCAAAATTTTAGATAAGGATAACAGACTTCATTTCTAATTTTGATAAATTTATTATGCTGAAGAAAATGTTGCGCTGACTGCTGACAAAAAAAACTTCTGCAGATCAGATTCGGTCCACAAAATGAAATGAAAATGATGTGGCTATTGGCCAGGGATCTTAAAAACTAAGAAGAATTGAGTGTATACAATAATACTTTATCATGAGATTCGCTTCTATACACTCCGTGCATTTTGAAGCGAAATTTGTATTATTGCTACTTATAGTTTGTTCCAATTGTGTTTCACAGGTTGAATATATATGGCAGAAAATAATTTTATTCCCTGACTTAAAAATGTGCAGAACGAATGTAATGGAGATTTCATTTGCCTCATGAGCTATACTGAAGTTCGTATAAAAAATATGGACGAAAACAAAAACTAATAACCGCAGAAAAAGAGTTTTTAAAAAGCCTCAGAACAGTATGACGTTGTACTCGGGTTCATTTGATATTTAAAACAAGCGTGATTCATATTCGAATTCATGTGTGGTTTTTAGTTTTGGGCACAATTCATATTTTGAATAATTTTTGTTTAAAAAAAAATACCCGTAAAGTGTTTCGTCGAGATGAAGGGCGTTTTGTAGTTCGAGGCATGATTACGAGAGGCTTTTCAAAACGGATAGTTGCTAACCCAGAACTTATTGGTTTTAGCAATCCCATTTGTTGACCCAGGTCTACTGATTGAATGATCTACTGAGATCTTCATGTTGAGATCCTCAGGGACCTCCTGGGTTTTTCCTGTCCCCAGTGGTAGAAGTCAGGCAGAAATTAGGAAAAATTGAATCTCCCGTTCCCAACTGGGCGGGAGCACGCAAAAAGATCCCTGGGGGATCCCACAATGTTGCAAACCAGGGTGGAGATCCTCGTCACGCCACATCCCAGAAAAAAAACTCGTTATTATCTTAATCTTTGGCAACCCTGCAAACGCAACAAGTTGGGGATCCCAAATGGGGATCGTAAACTGGCGAGTGTTACGTCGATATTGTGGGGGGATCTGATCCCTCTGGGGATTAATCCTGGCAGTAATTTCCGTGTCCGATGGCCCCGCTGTGATACCAAATGCACATCTGGGTTCCAATGTCCACCCGGCTCTCAATTAAACATCCATGGTATCCATAAACAGACTTGCCAACTCTTTCCCTGCAAATCTCCGAACTCGAGGAACAGAATGCGTTTCCGCGAATTTTAAACGCGAAGCTTTTCCAATTCGATTGACCAGCGTGGCTGGATTACTTTATATTTTGCGATCCAAGATCAACAAAAGTATAACAATCGTGGTATACAGTGGATCCCAGGTCTTCATTATTCAATTTGTCGATGACTGAATTCCAGTTATGATGTGATTCAGCGTAATTTACATCCCAGCTCTTCGTCATTCAAAATTCCCGTGAATTGAAAAAAAAATAATATTTTCCCACGAATTGAAAGTGTTGGTTTTTTTTGTTTTGGGAAATATGAAAATTGCGAAAATTACGAGGACAATTAGAATTAGTTTTTGCAACGCGAGAACGATGTCTAATTTTTTATGATCTGCCTAAAAAATCTTCGAAGCACAAATCAATTTAACTGGATCATGCATAACTTGGAATTGACTTCGTAAAGGTGGAATGACACAACTTTTTATGCTCATCTTTTTTCTTCATTCCATGTGCAAAAACGGATTTTCGAGTTCCTCGTTCGACGGTATTAAAAAAATCATCGATAAGCCACTGTATGTAGGTCCAAAAAAAAGCAGCTAAAATTAATTTTCAACAGACTGGATCGTCTAGTCTTCCAGAAGGATTGAATATTTTGTTGGCAATGCTGTTTGAGGAGCGGGTCTAGCAAAGATAAGCGGGCACTGGTTCCAATTTGTCGGGGGAGGAGGGGAGGGGGGTTCGGATCAGATTACCCAACATTTGAAGAAACTTTTTCCATCGGTAACCGGCAGGTGAATGGGATCCTTGAGCGATGATCATATATTCCAGACGTCAAACTCGAAAATCCTCCTTTCTACTCTCGTAAACGCATAGCACGAAATATCGAAACGGCGTTGGCCTATCAATTATCACTCATTTTATGCATTCAGCAAGAATTTTGATCATGACATGGAACTTTTTGAACTGAATCCGGAAATATCTTGGTTTTAATGCCTGGAAGAAAAATATTGTATCCCCCGAAAACAGCCAAAAAGGCGCAAATTGACGGTATATTCCAACAATTATGTCCTCATGAATATGAGGACATATTTTTTGCTCCATTGCTGTTTTTTCTAGACTTTCCCCTCAGCTCTGCGTGTTTGTCAGTTCTCACAGCTTTTTTTTTTATCACATGAATAACGATGTAGAAAGGATAATAGAGTAAGACAGCACCATATTAACTACAATGCAGACTCGTTCAGGATTTGCTTCTTGATTTCTTAGTGTGGAATTTGACCAAAAACCTATTCCCACGGAAGACCTGTACTCCAGTTTTTTTGGGCTAAAAAATTCAAATAATGATTTGTAACAAATAATCTTGTAATTAAATCAAATAATATAAAACATTGTAACAAGATTAAAGCCGAACAGAATTTTCTCTTCATTATTTTCACCTATGGAGACTCACTCATGACTCGTAAAAATAGGTTTTTGATCTTTTTATGTGAACACCCACACACAGTGTTAATATGAGCACCTGACTTTTTTGTCTTGATTTTCCAGAAAAAAAAGTTGGTCATGATACTGACGTACGTAGTATGGTAATAACTTGCAGAACTATTGGGCTGATCCATTTTTTGCACAGTTCCACAGAATTCTGTTGATGTGGAACGGAAAATGAGTTGTTGAAATGTTGTTGCTTTAAAAATTTTCGAAAAAATTTAAAGTCGATTTGAATATCTGTGAGATTTATCTGTAAGATTTATTTATTTTTAATAATTTTAAAGGTTATTTTATTAAATACTGTATTATTCTAATTAAAATATATGAAATGAATACTGTGATGAATATTTTTTAAATATTATAAATAAATATTCAGTCAAACAAAATTACTTTGTTTTCAAATTGCAATTGCCTTTGACTTTTTTATTTTTTTAGGAATATAGTGCAAGACAATGCGCTGCTTTCGCCAATGAGCTCGTTCGCTGAGGTTGTTTCTCATTACAATATATATATATATATATATATATATTTTTTTTTTTTTACTTTGNCTGTCCCCAGTGGTAGAAGTCAGGCAGAAATTAGGAAAAATTGAATCTCCCGTTCCCAACTGGGCGGGAGCACGCAAAAAGATCCCTGGGGGATCCCACAATGTTGCAAACCAGGGTGGAGATCCTCGTCACGCCACATCCCAGAAAAAAAACTCGTTATTATCTTAATCTTTGGCAACCCTGCAAACGCAACAAGTTGGGGATCCCAAATGGGGATCGTAAACTGGCGAGTGTTACGTCGATATTGTGGGGGGATCTGATCCCTCTGGGGATTAATCCTGGCAGTAATTTCCGTGTCCGATGGCCCCGCTGTGATACCAAATGCACATCTGGGTTCCAATGTCCACCCGGCTCTCAATTAAACATCCATGGTATCCATAAACAGACTTGCCAACTCTTTCCCTGCCAATCTCCGAACTCGAGGAACAGAATGCGTTTTCGCGAATTTTAAACGCGAAGCTTTTCCAATTCGATTGACCAGCGTGGCTGGATTACTTTATATTTTGCGATCCAAGATCAACAAAAGTATAACAATCGTGGTATACAGTGGATCCCAGGTCTTCATTATTCAATTTGTCGATGACTGAATTCCAGTTATGATGTGATTCAGCGTAATTTACATCCCAGCTCTTCGTCATTCAAAATTCCCGTGAATTGAAAAAAAAAATAATATTTTCCCACGAATTGAAAGTGTTGGTTTTTTTGTTTTGGGAAATATGAAAATTGCGAAAATTACGAGGACAATTAGAATTAGTTTTTGCAACGCGAGAACGATGTCTAATTTTTTTTATGATCTGCTTAAAAAATCTTCGAAGCACAAATCAATTTAACTGGATCATGCATAACTTGGAATTGACTTCGTAAAGGTGGGATGACACAACTTTTTATGCTCATCTTTTTTCTTCATTCCATGTGCAAAAACGGATTTTCGAGTTCCTCGTTCGACGGTATTAAAAAAAAATCGTCGATAAGCCACTGTATGTAGGTCCCAAAAAAAAGCAGCTAAAATTAATTTTTAACAGATTGGATCGTCTAGTCTTCCAGAAGGATTGAATATTTTGTTGGCAATGCTGTTTGAGGAGCGGGTCTAGCAAAGATAAGCGGGCACTGGTTCCAATTTGTCGGGGGAGGAGGGGAGAGGGGGTTCGGATCAGATTACCCAACATTTGAAGAAACTTTTTCCATCGGTAACCGGCAGGTGAATGGGATCCTTGAGCGATGATCATATATTCCAGACGTCAAACTCGAAAATCCTCCTTTCTTCGCTCGTAAACGCATAGCACGAAATATCGAAACGGCGTTGGCCTATCAATTATCACTCATTTTATATGCATTCAGCAAGACTTTTGATCATGACATGGAACTTTTTGAACTGAATCCGGAAATATCTTGGTTTTAATGCCTGGAAGAAAAATATTGTATCCCCCAAAAACAGCCAAAAAGGCGCAAATTGACGGTATTCCAACAATGTCAAGTCATGAATACGAGGACATATTTTTTGCTCCATTGATATTTTTTCTAGACTTTCCTCGCAGCTCTGCGTGTTTGTCAGTTCTCACAGCTTTTTGGTCATTTTTTTTATCACATGAATAACGATGTAGAAAGGATAATAGAGTAAGACAGCACCATATTAACTGCAATGCAGACTCACTGAGGATTTGCTTCTTGATTTCTTAGTGGGGAATTTGATCAAAAACCTATTCCCACGGAAGACCTGTACTCCAGTCTTTGTGGGATAAAAAATTTAAATAAGGATTTGTAACAAATAATCTTATAATTAAATCAAATAACATTAAAAATTGTAACAAGATTAAAGCCGAACAGAATTTTCTGTTCATTATTTTCACCTATGGAGACTCACTCATGACTCGTACAAATAGGTTTACGATTTTCTTATGTGAACACCCACACACAGTGTCAATATGAGCACCCGACTTTTCTGTCTTGATTTTCCAGAAAAAAAGTTGGTCATGATACTGACGTAAGTAGTATGGTAATAACTTGCAACACCATTGGGCTGATCTATTTTTTGTATAGTTTCGCAGAATTATGTTAATGTGGAACGGAAAATGAGTTGTTGAAATGTTGTTGCTTTAAAAATTTTCGAAAAAATTTAAAGTCGATTTGAATATCTGTGGGATTAAGATTTATTTTTAAAATAATTGTAAAAGTAATTTTATCAAATATTATTCTAATTAAAATATATGAAATGAATACTGTGATGAATATTTTTGAAATATTATAAATAAATATTCAGTCAAACGAAAGTACTTTATTTTCAAATTGCAATTGCCTTTGACTATTTTATTTTTTTAGGAATACAATATAGTGCAAGACAATGCGCTGCTTTCGCCAATGAGCTCGTTCGCTGAGGTTGTTTCTCATTACAATATATATATATTTTTTTGTACTTTGAATCATGGGTTGCATATTTCTGGAAAGTTTTCTCCTTCTTGCATGTGATACAGCGTTTCTTGTTCGAAATTGACTGCCTGCAGGTGAAGGAGCAGCTGAGCCAGTACTCCATCAGCCAGAGGCTATTCGGCGAAAGCGTCTTGGGGCTGTCTCAGGGCAGTGTCAGCGATTTGCTGGCCAGACCCAAGCCCTGGCACATGCTCACCCAGAAAGGCAGGGAACCCTTCATCCGAATGAAGATCTTCCTGGAGGACGACAACGCCGTCCACAAGCTGGTGGCGTCCCAGTACAAGATCGCCCCCGAGAAGCTCATGCGAACCGGCGGCTACGGCGTCTCGGCTCCTCGTAAGTTCCCTTCGAGCCCTCGGGGTCATTTGAAATCCGATGCATTCGACCTGGTTTAATGCCCCTGATATTCCCCGTCTTTGTGACCCTGCTCTTAGTTCCATTTGTAAAGCAGCCGTTGCCAGTCAAAGACGACTTCCCGATTCTTCTTCTTGGCGCAGTCTCAGGTACACTGCGACCATCAAAAATGATGATTTTGGCTCAGACGGTTTCTCGTTAATTTTGTTGTTGTTGTCGTTTCGTTGGTCAGTTTCGTGAATTTTGTCAGATGAAAGGGATAAAAGATCGGTTTCACAGCGTTCATCGACATTTTTCGTCGTAAGCAAAAATTTTCAGCATAGTATTTGTGCGATTCTTAGTCACACCGTGGTTTCATGGGCAGCAATTCTAAGAAGGAAAATGAATTTACCACAGTCTTTACGTAGAGAATCTTGCTATTGTTCTTGAAATTATTTTCTACAAATTTTATATCGACAGGCTTTTTTGCGATTTTAAAGCCTGATGGGAACAAGCTGAAAAATATTTGAGCTATGATTTTTGGGGTGTTTATCTCAACATAAATTTTGAAAAAGTAAATTCATAAATTCTGTGGAAAGCCAATTTTTGGAAATTCAGCAATAACATTTTCAAATTTTGTTGTTGGATGAAATAATTTGATGTACGTAATTGGAAGAACTTCATCTTAAAGCGCAAAAACGCTTTCTCGAGTTCCTTGTTCGACGGTACTTGTTTTTTTTAATAATCTATGCTTAATTGAATTTAGGCTTTTTAAAACGGGTTTTAATGTTTTTGAACCTAATGGGAAGAAGCTGAAAAAAATTCTTGACTTGCTGTGATAATGTTCCTTTTGGGTCTTATCTTTATATAAATCAAGTGGGGTCGGGTGCGGCCAATAATCGCATAAGTGGATAAAAGTATTCTCGATTTGATTTTTGAATCCCTTCGATTCTGGGGAAAGCCACTTTTCAGAAATTAAGCGGTACCATTTTTCAAAACGTTTCGAATCCAATGAGCTCGTTCATAAATCGAAGGACTTTGTCCGAATCCCCATTCCTCAAACGGCGTCCATATTTTCTCGCAGATATGCTAGTGACAGGGCGCCCAATGCAGGGCAAGGTGCCGAGCCCTGTGGGCAAGATGAAGGCGGACATGATGCACCCACCGCCGCCCGGCTCGGGGCGCTCCACACCTGCTGCCACGGGGCTGTTGGCATTCCCTGCAGCCGGGTTCCCGACACCCGCACCCACGCCTGCCATCTTGGATTCTCTGAAAAAGGCTGCTTCCGCACCTTACAAGGGCTACGTCCCGTCCCAGCACAATGTGTACGAAATGGCTGCCCTCACTCAGGACCTGGACACCCAGGTCATCACCACCAAAATCAAGGAGACTCTCCTCACCAACAACATCGGACAAAAGGTGGGCCTCTTTGGCAACCATGCGTACTGTATAAAGTTGTGAATGTAGCCATTATCAGTGGTATATCATCTCATACAAGTTTCCTTCTAATCGCATTAACCTGTGAGCCCGTGTTACCAACTTTGAAAGATTTGGCACATTTTTCGCACCAATATGATTTACTTAAAAATATTAGCCTGAATTTTGATTAAGAACTCATTCCCGAGTTATGTTTTGCACCTCATTTTTAGTGGCAGAAAATTTGAAATATCTTGAAAATTAGACACACCAGAATTTGAATTTTGACTTGAATTTAACTGGAATCCAATTAATTTTCAAGTACAGTATTTCCATTTTCAAAAATTGTTTGTTGAATTGTGTCCAGATTTCTGTTGTTCAAGTATGACGTGCACCTAAACTTTTGAAATTCTGAGAACAGTATTTACTCATTTGTGAAATGCATCCTCTTTTTTCTTACTCTCAATTAAAAAAAAATGAGGAAGTGGCACTTGTGTTAATACTTTACGGAAACTCTCTACAATGATTTTGTCTACATCAATTTTCTCTGTATAACAATTTGTTTTTGCCCCATGTAGGGTTCTCTCCCCTCATTACAGTATATGGGTTCTCTCCAACAAAATTCTCTCTACAACAATTTTTTTTGCCTTGAATTTTGTTCTAGAGAAAGTCCACCTGTACTGTATATAATATGGTATGTAACATTTGTTTCTGGACTAATTTTTCTTCAGATCTTTGGAGAAGCTGTGCTGGGATTGTCCCAGGGTTCAGTGAGTGAGCTGTTGTCAAAACCCAAGCCATGGCACATGCTGAGCATCAAAGGCAGGGAACCCTTCATCAGAATGCAGCTGTGGCTGAATGACCCTGCCAACGTGGACAAGCTCCAGCAGCTGAAAAACGAACGCAGGGAAGCCAACAAGAGGCGCAGACAGGACACTACTCCCGTAAGTTCACAATTTGAAATACATGAAACTCGCTCAGAAATGCATGAAGTCATAAATATACCGTATTTACTCAAGTACTGTAACATGCCCTCTCAAGTAAGACACGCACCTCGTCATTTTTAGTGGCTGAAAAACTAAAATATTAATTTTTTTTAAAGAGAGAATACCAGAATTCAAATTTGATCAAGAATTAAACTTGGAATTCAATTAGTTTCAATTGTCTTGATTTAAAATTGGTTCAAGTCAAAAATGTGCAATCATGCTCGTATTCAAGTGCAACGCACGCCTGAACTTCAAATATTTTTTGAAAATTGTATCCCCACCTGTGACGCGCATTCCCATTTTTCCTCTAAATTCAGAGAAAAAATTTGCCTGTGGTACTCAAGTAAATACGGTTTACAGTACAATATTTCACACTCACAGAATCAAACTTTCAAAAGACTTGGGATTCTCAAAATTTAATAAAAAGTTTCTCTCTGAAATCTTTGAGGACCAGGAAGAAGTGTTAGCGTTACTCCCTTACATGCTTTCTTCTCTAAGATTATTTATAAATTATTCAAATAATTTTTATTGGTCTGGGAACAGGCTGAATACCCTGTGCTTTAAATTGTGATCACTAATTTTTTGGCCTTGTGCATTTTTGTCAAAAAGGACAAATTCAAAGAATCCAGCATTTATTTGCATGCACTATGATGTATACTGTATTTACTCAAGTACCACGCACCCTTGAGTAAGGTGCGCACATGGGTTTTTCAGTTTGAAATGCGGCTAAAATCTTTTACCCAAGTAAGACAAGCACCCCAATTTTTAGTGAATCTAAAGCCACAAAATTTTGAAAATAAATTCAAAAAATTTGACTAGACATGAATTGAACAAAAATTGGATAAATTTTCAACTTTTTCAGTACAAAAAAGTTCACTTGTTACATTTTTTCAAAATTTCTCCATTATAATCAAGTATAATGCGCACATAAGTTCCTAAAACTTCTGGAAAAATTTGTACCTGCTTATGAAGTTTTTTTCTTCTGAAATTTGAGAAAAAAGGTGGTACTCAAGTAAATACGGTATTTTGTTCTTTTTAGTTTTGAATCTTACTTGTGAAGGGATGTGTGTTTGTAGAGGATAAGGGGGAGGGCGGGATTTTTTTTTTTTTACTTTGTGAACGCTGACAAGCAGCAAATAAAGCATATTTTTAACAATCATTCAATGTATATTTGTGACAGGGTTTGCCTCAAGCAGCAGCTGACAGCGGGGACTCCAACGACTACTACTCCATGACCCCGAGCCCCAATTCTACCGGGGGTGGAAGTACCGGGAGTTCCTCAGCCAAGAAGCAGAGGGTGTTGTTCTCTGATGAGCAGAAAGAGGCCCTGAGACTGGCTTTCCAAATGGACCCCTATCCTAATGTGTCAGCCATTGAGTTCCTAGCCCAGGAACTGAACCTGACCCCGAGGACCATCACCAATTGGTTCCACAATCACAGGATGAGACTCAAGCAGCTGGTAAATGATCATTTCAAATATCTATAGTAGGTCGTTAACCATAGACACATACCATTTAGACCAGTTTTCCCGAACTTGTGGTCCGCAGACTGGCGCTGGTCCACAGAGGTTTTCTTACATTCTGCCAGAAATTTTCTTCAGCATAATAAATTTATCAAAAGTAGTAATGAATTCTTTTTTTGTTATGTGAAATTTTTGAAAAGCAATGGCAGTTGAAATTATCTGATGAAAAATACAAGTTGGCTTTTATTCTAATAAAACTCCGACAAATTTCCATCTTCTCGAATAAATCATTTTAAATTTTCATTCCGTTTCGAAAAATCAGCCGTTTTCAAAAAGTGACGCATCGATTGTACAGTACATTATAAACTAAGCCAGGCTTTCGGGCAAGGGAACTCTCCCCTTTTAGAGGCCTTTTTAACAGGGACACCTGCCGGTCAACTGAAGCAACAACGTAATAAGCGTTTCTAAATTGTTCACTAGGTGCCGCACCAGGGTAGTGGCAGCAGCGGCGAGAACCTGCCGACCAGAGAAGGGTCTGGCCAACCCTTCGATCCCATGCAGTTCCGGTTGGCACTCCGGCAGCGGCTGGTGGAGATGCACCAGGACCGAGGACCACAGCTTCGCATGCCCAACTTCCCGCTCCCGCCGCCGTTTTCCCCGTTGCCGTATCCGTTCTTCAATTCGGCGGCTGCCGCTGCAGCGGCTGCGGCGGCTGCTGCTGCGGCGGCGGCGGCTTCCTCCGGACATCCACTCGGTACGCAGCTATCAGGCTTCCTTCCGATTCCATGCCTTGAATACGAGGAATTTCCATCAAAATGGTTTACCAATCGCACGTACAATCGTTAGCCCAATAATCCGACTCGGATTTGATTCTTATTCCTGCATCACAGTTTTTTTTTCTTCTTTTTTTGCAATGCATAATTTCAGCATTATGATTCACTCTCCTTAGATCTTCACATTGATTGTGAAATCTTCCTCGTAGTCGCTCAGATGTCACGTGAATCTTTTTAAGTGTCCACCAGAGGTTTCGGATTTCGTTATGCTAGGTACTGTACTGTGCAAAGGTTCCGTTGCATCAAACAGGGTTAATTTGAGCATTGGGCTGGATAAGATTAGTTTGGATTGGAATGAAAAATTGACTTGGAATTTCAAGTTTATGTTAGTTTATTCCTGGTCACAGGTTCACATGAGAGTAATGAGACCTATCATTTCAGAAATACTGTACATAACCCGAAATTCCAGAAATAATTTTTCTTATACTGTACCTCAGTGAAAATAACGCCGAATTTTTTATATTTGCAGTTGCATAAGTGCTACTATTACGGCCTGAATCATTTTTAATTTTGTTAAATGTAAGTCATGTTCGGTCATGCTTAGGTTACTCATCAAGATGGCAACTACTGTACTTCCGAAAAAATAACTGACTTTTATTTTTATTGCTTCCCAAAAATTGAATTGGGCTTATCATTATGGTAGGTAGGCTCCATTTTCAGATAATAAAAATTTTAAAAACTACAAAAATTACGATTGAAACTCTTGTACTGAAAGATTTTTGAAGCTGGAAGTACAGTACTGTATTGATTTGGGGAATTTTGATGACTGAAGCATTTTTAGATCAGTGACAAAATGCAGAAATTCGAAGAAGAGTTATCATAGGACGAGGAAATGGAAAATTTGAAAAAAATACAGATGGTGAATGTACTACAGTAGTTGAAAATGCTCAGGGAAATTTAGGGGTATGCTAAGGGGGAAAACTCATTATCGGAAAGGAGTTGCTGTATATTATTCAGAGTTCTGGGTTTATTTAAGGACTATAATGTTTTATTTAATTTTTTTATGCGTGTCCTGATTTTCTCAAGTGATGAGTACAGCATCATAATGTTCCTACTTTATTTCCTCCCAAATGAAGCGCAATTCAATGCAGCCACTGACTTCTCTTTTCTCCTTGCAGATGGGTCAGGGTTGGACCTGCGAGTGCCAGGGGCGCCGGAGCAGCCCTGGGGCTCCCCGGGCGGCAGCGAAGACGACTCGGAAACCACGGCGACGCGGGCGTCCACAGCGGCGCCCCTGAACCTCAAGCGGGAGCGGTTCGACTCTTCCTCCGACTGCGACACCGGGTCTCCGGCGTCCACCTTCTCCGAGGACCCGAAGCCCGCAGCGTCCGGGTCGTCCCGTCGCAAAGCCGCCGCCCCGCAGTGGCTCAACCCCGACTGGCACGGCACCCCGGGCAGCAACGGCGCCGTCGACGACGACGACGATGCTGGCGCCGGCGGTGGCGGTGACGTCAGTGGAGGAGGAGGAGGAGGAGGTGGTGGTGGTGGCGGCAGTGGCGTCGGCAACGACGGTGACGGCGGCCCCGAGCCCGACTGTGATCCCGACGACGACGAAGAAGACGACGACGACGATGACGACGAAGACGCGCAATCAAAGTCCAATTGACCTTATTTTTTTTTCCTCGTCTCCCCTGCTGTCCGAAAAGAAAGAACAACTTCCCCTTCTTTTCGCCGCCTCCGAAACCCCCTTTCGGCCGAATGGCCGCCTTTATTCTGACAACCGCCTGCGAGTATATGGAGATAGATCTACCGATTTCAGCACACCTGCTTTAAATTTGCGCGTCGATCCTAGTTCTTTGCCAGCTTATATTAAACCCCATACCTGACAAACCTAAGTTAAGTGTATGGTAGTACTGTATACAAAGTGATCCCAGATTATTCAAAAATGGTGGAAGAATTTCTCGGAGTGAATTTTCCCGTCTTTCTTTTTTTTTTCTTACCTCAAAAATTTGCCTCCTCTGTGTTACTCGCAATTAATTGCATCACGTTTTTCTATAAGATATGTTGGCCAATTGCTTGAGACACTCGAATTTAGGATTATTCAATATTAATTTATCTTCTAAAAATTCAGAAAAGTTCTTCTTTATTTTATTCTGACGATGCAGATTAAATTTTTAAAGAGGCCCTTGTGTTCCCCAAGACAGATATCCAGAATATTTTCCCAGTTTGGTGAAGATATTGTTCATTTACAGCGCCTAAATTCTTCTATGATCCCACGTGGGCCATTTATTTTACACAAATTCCAAAGAAATGTTGCATTAACAAACATTCGAACTCATGATCATGGCACAAAAATAAACCACGTACATTAAGTAATTAGTCTCCGTATTAAATGCGAATGCGTCCAAAAGGGTTAAGATATACAGATTCCGCACTCAACTCAGATATATCTTCAGTTCTTTTCAGGCTTCAGTCAAAAAAAAAAATTTGGTACAATATTACAGAGTCTCAATTAAGTCCCCAATGACCAGTACTTTTTACGATAATTTCCTAACTTCTTCTGGAGTAATTGCGGCAAGACTCGCGAGCTGGAATGTGTCCAAAGTATAAAAGTATGCAGATACAGTCACAAAAGAGCACGTCTGGAAGGTGCATCACAGGGAACTAGTCAAGTACTGCGTAGTACTAGGATGAGTCGCAGTTGGTTGTCAGCAAGAGGTGGTCCATGGATTGGTGTCAAATAGACGAACCAGTCTTACGTTCGGCAAACGCAGTTAAGGGTGTCCTGTACTGAAGAAAAAAAAAAAGAACCGTGCTTATTGGTACATATAGTTGGACCAGTGTTGGAGGGGTTTTGGGAGTGTGACTTATTCCCACTTAACTGTTCTGTGAAGAAAAAGAAAGAAAGAAAAAAAAAGAGTACCCTCTGGATTCAGCAAGTATTCACGCGGTGAGCGCAAACCAAAACCAAACCAGAGCTTAAGCGGCTTTAATGAAAGGACTCTCCAGCGTCGAATCAAACTATGCCTCAAACCCATTACTAGTGTTCAGCCTACTACATTCGTATTTGCATGCATGCTTTTTTGTTTCCTTTTTCTCGCAGGCACTGTCTTGTGCTTTTTTAGGCCATGTTCTGGGCGCTGTAAGAGATCTGATTGCCTGGTGCTTGCCTCGTGTTATCAAATTGTTAGACCCCTGAGCAGCCTGCCAAACTTGCCATGGTTCTCGGAAGACATTGTTGCTCAGGTTTGGTCCAAACTGGTCTCCTTTTGTTGGCTCCTTGGTGCGTTGTTGAGAGAATTTCCCAGCACTTGGCCGAGGGGGTATTTTTTGTTGGGTTCTGTGATGGGACTGTGGCAAGTTTGGGGGTACCTTTTTTTTAACCCGGTTGTTTTTTTTTTGGAGCCAAATAGACCGCTTTGTCTTTCCCTGCTTTGCTTGGATGCCTCAAAAATATATACCCTACCTAATTTTTTTTTTTTTTACAACAAAATCGCTGAAAAAGGCTTCGTCGAGACCAGCTGTCCACGGGTGTCTTACATTTTCGATGGTGCAGTGTTTAATAATCAAACCAAAGACAAACATGTCCTTCCTGGTCGATCCCAAGGTTATTACACCAAATCCCTGTCCATCATTTCAGGTTTATCTTTCGAGAACTTTTCAAAGTACCAGCAGGGTGTGACGACCAAGCACGAAAATCAAAAGTCGGCAAAAGACTGCACAGAAACACCCTCATGTTTCTTTGGGGGGGTTCAAAGAAAAAAGACAGGAGATTTCGAGATGAAATCGGGATCAGGCTTTTTTTCGCTCTCTGCTGGACGCATTTTGTCTTGTTTTCATGCCCAAAAGCGATAGAAGACAAAAGCAAAATGCGGGAACCAGTTCAGGAATGTGTTCTGTATAGAGCAAAGGATACCCAGGGAATGTCTTCGTAATAGTTGTAGCTTAAAATCCGTGGTTTTCGTGCAGGACTGCTCCTGATGTTGTCCTCATCGGCTGAAGGAATGCGAGGGTTTGTTTATCGTGACTTCAACGTTTTTAATGTTGCGCAAAAGGAATTCTTAGAAAAATGAGCTGGATATTTGCTTTGATACTACGGTGTAGAGGTAAGAATTTAAAATATCGTGGAGGGGGGTTACAGCAATGTTGAAAGACAGAGACACCGGGGGAGTGTTTTATTCTGGGGACACCCTGTGGACGGGGGTTTTATTTGACGGCATCCATAGGAAAGCGGGGGGTGAAACGATTTGGCAGAAGAAGGAGCAGGGGGGTGGGCGCAAGTTTTTTGGTATTGAAAAGAAGAAAGATATTCAGCAAAAAATGTTTGGTTTTTGTTTTTTGGACGCCGGACGTTCCTTTTTGCGGATTGCGTGATATATGCGGAAGAAGAAAAAAAAAAAAGAAATTTGAGAATTGAGTTATGTACCGGGATTTTATAAGAACGGACTCCGAGCTTTTCTCCTCCTGGATATTTTGAACGAGATACGATCCTGACGACGGGCATTGGCGTTTTCGGGAAGATGGCAGCACGAGTATTTATTAATTTATTCCGGTTTTTTCAGCCAGTGTACGCTTATCCGCGGGAGTGGATCCGCGGATCCGCATGCGTTTTTCCTGGTTACTTGTTGAGCTAATGGGACGGGGCGTGTACATAAGGAGCCCCAGGCCGGAAGAGTTATTGGGGGAATATTGAATTTCATATCAATGGTTTTCCGCTTGCATTTTATTTTGAAGGGATGTACTTGTGCGCGACATGCGTTGGTTTGTTCCTTTTTCCGGAGTTGCTTTCCGAGTTACTACTTCTGGATTTGAATAAAGTTTTACTCCCGCCGGGCTAAGAACAACCCTTGCCTGCCTTCAGTCATTTCAGATCAACTGCTCGTCACTGCCACTTTTTCTTGTCCCTCTTTCTTTTGTTTTGTTTAATTATTCTGCTGCATAAGTGCGTGGTCTGCATCCTGCAACATGGACTCCTCGCCATTCAACTACAGTGGGACCCCGAGATGCGGACATAAATGGTGCTTTGACCTTATCCCTGGCGGTCGGATTGTCCTTACGTCAGATCACGTCGTTTTCTGATACACTTCAATGCAGAAAATACTCAACCGCGGTTCTCATGATTATCAAAAATTAGGAATAAGTTCCTCAAAAATTGAAAAAAAATTCCCTTCAAATTCAAGATACAGACAAAACTGTTCAGATGAAAAGCACATAGTATTCAATCAATGGCATCAAACGAGGCACAAAAAGTAAAGAACAAAAATAAAAGTCTTGCTATACTGTGCAGCACAGACAGCGAAGACAAAAAAAAACTCTGAAAAAGGAGCAAAAATTCAGCCTGTTTTTGATTATGAGTAGATATATAGTGGAATGTACTGTATTTCCAAATTTTTTTGAATAAATAATACTGTACCTCATTTGTTCAAGAGATCAAGATTGAAACATGAAAATTTTTGATTTTTCTAGAAAATATTGGCAAAGTGTCCCCATCTCAAACCATTGTCCAGATGTTGGGACAGCTTTTTGTTCAAATTTCAAGTATCCCCAAGTCAAATTGTCTGTATGTGAGGGAATCCATATGTCAAGGTCTCTGTGTATTTAAAATTTAAATAATTAAAATACATTCTACTATTTAAAACAGTATGCACCCATTTTCCCACTCCAATCTGCACTGCATTGGCATTTTTGAGGAGTGTGTAACAACAATAATGAGCAGGAATTCCGATGGTTCCTCTTGAAGATTGGCTTTTTGATGGGCATTTTTATTGAGGACAGAATGGACTCCAACACAATCAAAATGGAACATCGTCATAGGCCCTGTTTTTGATTGAGTCATCAGGGTTGTGTGGGGCAAGGAATAGAAGGTCCTTGTTTTTAAAGAATACAGGGCTGAGTGTGATGCAGTAGAAATGGAACATCCCTGCACAAAATTGATGCCAAGAATGCCAAAAAGCTTCCTTTTTTCATATGTGACATGTTCTCCTTTGTGGCCCAAGGGTCCAACCATTTTTATTGAAGAGCTTTGAATTTTTTGGTCCCAAAGGATGTAGCTACTAAGACATATGCTATTTTCAGAAAACAAATTCCAAACCATTAAACTTACTTTGCATATTTAAATCAAGCATATCTATTGCATTTAAAAATAAACTTTTTCATTCTTTTTTTTGTAAAATTGAAGATGATCCTGAGCAGAAACTATTACCATATTTACTTGAGTACCATGCGCACCTTTCATCTCAAATTTCAGAAGAAAAAAAGGGGTGTGTGTCATAAGCAGGTACAAATTTTTCAAGAAGTTTTAGGAAGTTATGTGTGCATTATACTTAATTATACAGTAATGGAGATATTTGGAACAAATGTTACAAGAAAACTTGTTTGTACTGAAAAAATTTAAAATTGATCAGATTTTTGTTCAATTCATGCCTGAAGTCAAATTTTTTTGTTTATATTTTTGAAATTTTGTGGTTTTAGGTTCACTAGAAATTGGGGTGTGCGTCTTACTCCGGGATAAGATTTTAGCAAAATTTCCAACTGAAAAACCCCTGTGTGTGTCTTACTTGAGGGCGTGTGGTACTCAAGTAAATATGATATATTAACCCAATGGTGGTGGAGTAAACTGTAAGGAACACGATATAAATGCCAAAGAACATTTATTTTGCCAGCAATTTTAGATGATGGTGGTTGGCAGCTTATCCAGGATGTCTCGGATATTCAAATTTGAGAATATAAGTGCAGTGCATAATTTTGTCTGCTGAAAGAGGGGTATTTTTTCAAGGTGGCTCTGTAAAGGGGTAGTTTGTATTTTTAGTACATTTCTGCAATTTTTGATGAAACCAAAACCTAGCGATGTGAAAAGTTTCCCTTCCCACCAAGGACAAGTTTCATAATTGTATTCATCCACTCATGACAGGGTAAATGAGACGTTAGCATGAAGGCTTGTCAACCGATTTTATTTTCCATGGATACTGAAAAAAAAAACAGAACAGTTTGTTCATTCCAAATGAGACCTCAGTAATGCGATCTATTTAGAGAAATACCAAACGCAAAGAATTGTGTTCGCAGTAATAATATAATATAGAGATTGCAATGAAAAATTTATAACCTTCTCTTCACAAGTTTTGATTTAGACGTTTTTTTCTAGCGCCATTGTTAGTACAGGTATTTCACTTTCCATTATTTGAGATTACACAGGTATATCGTGAATCTTTCGAAAAACTTGATTCATTTACTTCCCTAACACCTTTCCAATTTTGGCTAATCCAGTTTTCCGTTTACAGAAGGAGTAATAATATAAAAAATGTATTGTACCAGGATTACAGCCTATAAAAGGATATTTTTATCGCATGACACCTATAAATAAAATGCCAGGACAAATAAAAATTTTTTTATAATGTGACTCGTTCGTTGTAAAATAAATTTTTTCAGTTGCATTTTGTTATAACGAGACTCGTTGTAACAGGGGTTTATCGCAGTGTAGTTGCATTTTCACTGAAAAATCGTTCGATGCTCTGGGATTTCATTTTATAGCATTTCAATTTGTACATAAAGATACATTAAACTTTTTTATTACCTCAATGCTGAATTTTTGTGATTGGCTCTCTGCATTTGGATGCATCAACGATACCACTGGCTTGACTTGGTTTAGTTTTTGTTCAGAAAAATTTTAGTACTGCTTCTTTAAAACTGTGATTTCATCATTCAACTCTGGCAACAGTTTTTTCTTGAACAAGAAAACAAAATCAAAAACATTTTATTACTTTTTATCCACAAATAAATGCAGTGCCGATTACCACAGATCCAAGAAATGAAAGAATACTCTACTTGCAAAATTATTTTCATCGTCAAATCCGTCAGTGTTTCAATTGCTGATTGAGGGGTTCCCAAGGCAGAAATTTCGTCCAAACTTTCCCTTCAAATATTTTGCTGCATATTTCAGCAAATCAATTAATATTCCCGTGTGCCAGGTTATTGATGGTAAACTCGTAAGATGAAGTCATGCGATGGAGTTCATGAAACGAGCAATTAAAGAATTATTCCAGCTCTTCAATTACCATCAGCCAGGGGATCAAAACTTCCGTTCTGAATTGCTGGTTGGTGAAGGCAAAAAGCGGAATCCGCGGCACTACTTTCACACAGTACCAGGTGAAGGATCGTAACAATGCCGGTCGTAAACTTTAATTATATTCACGCTCTTCCGCATTCTCGCGAAATGGCGGGGGGGAAGGAATTGGTGGAGGAATATTCTTCCGACTAATTTCATATCCACCTTCCCGGGCCGAGTGGCTTCACAAACTGAATATCAAATAGGGCTTCATTCCTCGTCGCAATTTAACTCTGTTCCTCGCGAGACAAAATTATCCAGAGCAAATTGCAGAAGTTCCAATATCCTTGCTGCCTGTTTCCAGCAATTTTATTTGCATTCGCGCAAAACAGATGGTCGTGTTGCACTTCAGAAGAACATGAATGAATTGGAAGCTCTTTTCAATTTGAATTTGGGTTTATAGCCTGCGGAGAAAGCGGGCATTCCAAAAACGGGAGATTGTTTCTTGTGGTGCATGGAAAAAGAAATGCAGTGAACCCCTTCTTGTTTGGCATTATTTCCTCAGTTTCTCTCGAGACAGAATGCAATTTTACATTTTTGAGGTTTCAACATTTTTTCAATGAGTTATTTCCAATTCAATTTTGGTTCTTGGGACCAAGAAAACGGTTTTGTTTTCAATGTACACAGTGTAGTCAAATGTTGCAACCCTCACAAGATGTTGGAGCAATACAAAAACGGGCACAATATTAACAAGAGGTTTCGCAACTTTGACAAAAAAGTCCTAGACAGACTCAAAAAAAAATTCTTTCTAGAAATCAATAATCAAGCAAAAGAATGCTACGAAACTGGATAGCAAGAACTCCACAAACTTCCCTTCTGTGCTACCCAGAATTCTTCAAAATTCCTTGTTCGAAAATTGTGTGTTTGATTGCCGATTGATTTCAATTATGCATATATCCAAGAGCAACAAATTAAGGCTTGGTCTTGACCCAAATCCAATATTTTGAATGTATCCGTATTTACTGTATTTAG